CTGAATGGAAGCACCTCTGAATAAATGCTGCCAAGGTGAAATCCTAGCAAGTAAATGACATATTTAGAGCATTCCCATTCACTCACACAGAGGTATTACTACAATGATACAGATTACATAGCAAGGAAATTTCATGGCACGAGACCACCTGAGGAACCTGAAGGTACACAAGTCCATGGAACCCAAGGAGATACATCCACAGGTCTTGAGAGACCTGTCAGATGAAGTTGCTAAGACACTATCCATCATATTTGAGAAGTCACGGCACTCTGGTGAGGTTCCTGCTGACTGGAAAAGAGGAAACATAACCCCTGTTTTCAAAAGGGAAAAAAGGAAGACCCAGGGAACTACAGGCCACTCAATCTCACCTCTGTGCCCAGTAAGATCATGGAGCAGACCCTCCTGGAAACACTGTTAAGGCACATGGAAAAAGAGGAAGTGATTGGTAGCAGCCAACATGGCTTCACCAAGGGCAAGTTGTGCCTGATAAATCTGGTGGCCTTCTACGAGGTGTTACAGCAGTAGTGGACAAGGGAAGAGCAACTGACATCATCTACCTGGACTTGTGCAAAGCATATGACACTGTCCTGCACGATATCCTGGTCTCTAAATTGGAGAGACGTGGATTTGATGGATGGACCACTTGGTGGATAAGGAAGTGGCTGGACAGTCGCACTCAAAGACTTGTCATCAACAGCTTGATGCCCAAGTGGAGACCAGCTATGAGTGGTGTTCCCCAGGGGTCAGTACTGGGACCGGTGCTGGTCAACATCTTTGTTGGTGACATGGACAGTGGGATTGACTGCACCCTCAGCAAGTTTGCTGATGACACCAAGCTGTGTGGCGAGGTAAACACACTGGAGGGGAGGGATGCCATCCAGAGGAACCTGGACAGGCTGGAGAGGTGGGCCCATGCCAACCCTATGAAGTTCAACAAGGCCAAGTGCAAGGTCCTGCACGTGGGTCGGGGCAATCCCAAACACAAATACAGGCTCAGCAGAGAGCAGCCCTGAGGAGAAGGACCTGGGGGTGCTGATTGATGAGAAGCTCAACATGAGCCAGCAATGTGTGACTGCAGCCCAGAAAGCCAACTGGATCCTGGGCTGCATCAGAGGAAGTGTGGCCAGTAGGTCAAAGGAGGTGATTCTGCCCCTCTACTCCACTCTCGTGAGACCCCACCTGGAGTACTGCATCCAGCTCTGGAGTCCCCAATGTAAGAAAGACCTGTTGGATCAGGTCCAGAGGAGGGCCACAAAGATGATCAGATGGCTGGAGCACCTCTCCTATGAGGAAAGGCTGAGAGAGTTGGGCTTGTTCAGCCTGGAGAAGAGAAGGCTTCAGGGAGACCTTACAGCAGTCTTTTAGTACTTAATGGGGGCCTACAGGAAAGATGGGGAAGGACTTTTTACAAAGGTATGTAGTGACAGGATGAGGGGGAATGGCTTCAAACTGAAAGAGGGTAGATTTAGATTAGATATTAGGAAGAAATTTTTCACTCTGAGGGTAGTAAGGCACTGGAACAGGTTGCTCAGAGAAGCTGTTGAAGCTCCATCCCTGGAGGTGTTTAAGGCCAGGCTGGATGGGGCTTTGAGCAACCTGGTCTAGTGAGAGGTGTCCCTGCCCACAGCAGGGCAATTGGAAGCAGATGAGCTTCAAGATCCCTTCCGACCTAAACAACTCTATGATTCTACAATATCTAACAGATGGCTTGCTGATAAAACTCTGTGTACAGTGTACCTTCCATATACGAATGAAGAATGACAACACTAGAAACAACCCCTCCACTCTCTGCAAGCAGAGGGCAAGCTCCTAAGCTAGCAGTAGATGGTGAGTATCCTCTGGACCTACAGTTTTTAAGTAATCTTTTTAGTTTACACTGTTTAAACAAGTCACTTTTTATCTTGTGTTTTATCTTTGTGTCCGCCCCTCCGGCTCTCATTCGAGGGTGACCACAGTGGTTTCTGTCTGTACAGAAGGGATGGCTCAGCTGCTC